TGCTGCGCCCCTCCGCCGGCGGGTGGGAGGGTGGGGAGGAAAGAAAGGCAATGCAGGCCTCGGTACATTCAGATGTTGTAATATTCAGCATGGTTACACCAGGGGTCAGGACACGTCCCGCAGTCAGACAGAGCTTTAGTTCTTTACGGTTACAAGGAAACTCTGGAACAGTTATATAGTTAGAAAAAATACAATGTACTGAACAAACATTATCTCACATACAATCAATTTAAACATTTAAATTGATTATAATTTTGCTAAAATATTAACACAAGTACTGTTTGTGCTGCTAAAATTTCAGTGTTCCCTCTAAGGAAAATATTGCTACAGTTCTACCGTACCCTGTATTAAAATCCTTTGCCTTTTTTTTCCCAGCAAGACTGACTCTAGAAAAATCGCAAGGGTCACGTAATTAATTTAGGCTTATACCGTACTGGGGTTTGGGTGTCCCTGGTCTACTTAATGCAAGGGTGTCCCACTGTTCACCAAGCCCTGCTGGCACGGGCCACCGGCAGATTCCCCTTGGTCACCTCTTCCTTGCTCCTTGCGTGAGCCGAGCAAGTGACACCTCCGATAAAGCAGCGCGGCGTCCTCCTGCCTCGTGCGCCTGCAGCCGCCGCGGGCAGCAGGGCCAGGCAGCGGGGCTGAGCACCACCGCCCCCCATCGCGTTTGGACCTCAAAGTGGGTGCAAAGGTGTCCAGAGGGAGAGAGGCCTCCTCTGCCGTCGCTGTTGGGAAAAGCCCGTGGCGGGGACCGCGGCAGGACACCGGGTCTCGGTGCCGCCGCGCCGCGTGGGGAGGCTGCAGCGGCGCGGGAGAAGTGTCCGCGTCGGGAAACGCTGCCTGAAAAATCCCCGGGCAGCTCCAGTGGCTCCGGTGCCGCCAGGCGAGCGGGAAGAGCTCAGCTCCAGCAAAGCCAGCCTTCGCTGCAAATGCACATCTTAACCCGGCCTGAATAGTGGGGGATTCAAGTAAAGCACTTTTTGTCACTGATAATGACTGCTCGTGATGAGATTTGCTGCTTATTAATTAATGCATTTATTTGCAATTTAGCAGCAGAAATGAGCTGTGTTAATGACGACAAAAAAACCTGCTGGATGTTTTTGCTACAAGGAGAGCTGGGGCAGTCCGGTAACTATTGCTTGTCACGAGGTCAGAAGGCAGCACGCAACTTCTGCCGGCGTCAACCGGCAAGGCGAAACCGCGGCTCGCCAGCCGCCGGGAGCCGGGGCGTCGAGGGCCTCTAAGGAGGAGCTGCCACCGAGGTGGGCGGGGATTCAAGTTTCAGCTCCTCTGCTCGGTCCTTAGTGCCAGATAGCTCAGGTCACAGCCACCGCGCGGGCAGACAGGCGGGGAAAGCAGGCAGGTTGCTGACAAGGATCTACTGGATTTTGCACACTGAGTTATTTTTGGCAAGGCAGGAATTTTGCAGCTGAAAACCAAACCTCAGCCTCCTTCCCAGGCGTTTTTCATTCACTGTCTTCTCCCCCACTATTTGCAAACACGGGGCCGTGTGCCCCCACAGGGCGGACTTCAATGGCCTGTGAAGTCTTTCCAGTTCTCTCTCTGAATTCCTCATTTCTAGAGACCGCAGGGTAAAACGTACCTTCACCACTGAGGTTCTGCTGCAGCTGACGACAGGCGGTGGCTGCTCCCAGTATAGAAACGCAAGTTCAATGCCACTCCTAACGGACTGGGAATTTGAGTCGCAGAGACACCCACCCCTTTTGTGTTGGTAGCTCTGGGTTTGAGCGTGGGGAAGTGTTCCGCGTTGCCAACCAGAAACTATTTGTAAATTTGCAAACTTTCCCAACCCCTCGGTGAAGAAGTGGAACTGCAACGCGCCGTATTTTCCGCTGATAAAAGGCTATTCCTAATTAGCAGCCAACTATTGCTGAACTGGTTTCCAGTTTCAAACAGTAACTTTTTACATCCTCAACCAGAACCACGTTGAAGGGTAGAAGCAATTTGGATGTTCAGCACAAACCCCGACCCGCGGCGCCCCCCCCCGCTGCTTGCATCCTAAGCTAAGTTTGAAATGCCTGTTTGGATATTTTTTTTTTTTTTGTACAGTAAATATATACAAATAAAAGTAACACAGACGCCACTTATGTCTTTGTGAATTTGGCGCTTTCCATGGAACACGTGCAGGAAAGCTCCGCAGCGGGAGTGGCGCGGGGCCAATCTCCCCACCCTCACCGCCACGAGACCGATTCTGTGTTAGCTCTGGAAGAACGAGATAAATAGCAGCTCCTCAGCTACTGTGTTTTCTAACAGGAGAAGGTACTCTGGGCTTTCCCGGGCGCTCAGCAGAGCCCAGCGCTGACTGCCCAGCGTCGAGCCTCAGAGAGGGCATTTATTCATCTTTCGCCACGTGTAGGTGATGTGGTAGCAACCTTCCTTCCTTCCTTCTGACTTAGAGGGAACACTGCTTTTATAAAACCCTTGGACAGGTAAGACAAGAACCAATACCACTGTACAGAATTCACTGCACAACTAGCTAATAGTAAGGAACCCAGCACTGACTTGCCACATTAAGGAAATAGGACTGAATACATTTGCAATCAACCGGTTAAGTGTACTGCACCGTAGGACTCGGTCTGTGGGTACACGGCCCTCGCCCCTCAGTACGCTGGCACTTGGTAACCTTTCGGGTTGGCGTCTAAGGTCTCGGTGAAGGGGGGGCTCTGGTAGGTCTCTGTGCTCTCGATGCCGCTGCCGGTGGGGTAGCCGGGGTACGCCGCGTTGGGGTCGGTGGCGAACTGATCGGTGGCAAAGAGCGACATGTCCGTCCCCAGGCGGTATCTCTGCAGCGCCTTCACCGCCAGCGCAACCAGCCGAGGGACGGAAGAGGGTTGGGGGGGGTGGCAACGCGGCGCGC